TAGATAGAAATATCCAAAGTCAAGTAAAATTGGAGTTAAGAAAATATATACATCAAACTATTGCAAGAAGTGACAGTTGGCCCACTTCATAATCTCAACGATATGTTGATTAAATCTCTTGTAGTTTAGGCTTTGTTCGTGGCTCTCTTGATTAAAATAATGTTTTCATTTAGACACACATATTAACCAAGCCATCAATAAGGCTAAAAAGGAAATATGGAAGATCCCAAGAGAACAGTAGAATCTAATACACAATTCACTCAATACTTGTTCTTCTTCCAAACAATTAATTTTCCCTTCTACATCCTGTCTTTCTCAACCCAATCTTGTAATATATGACTAGAGCCAATGGAGCCAGTTAACCAAACCCCTTGAGAGAATTGATTTAGTAAATTTGGTTAATTTGTGTCCCTATTTGAAAAGTGCACCATCATGTCTTTCAAAACTGAAAATGCTCATCAATATAATAAATGAAAACGTTTATTTGGTCTAAAAACATGACGTGGTTCATGATCACTTCCGGTTAGGTGACAATACAGCTGATATATAGAGTTACGTGTTAAGACTATAAAATGTGGTTTATTACTTTATAAAATTTGATAAATGCGATGGTAATTAATTTCGTCGCTTAATTACGTTTATTGCAAAAGGTTACTTAAACCCCGTCTGGTTATTTATTAAAGGGTTACAATATAGTGAACTGGTGATAAATTAAAGCAATCATATCACTCACTTGATAATTGGTCTCGAGTAACCAAACAAAGAATCTGAACTGATTTATTGAAATATTATTGAAAAACTATATTCGCATGAAATTTCATATAAATTAAGACAATATTAAAATATGTTCGCTATCAACACAACTTAGAGGAAAGACACGATATAACAGGCAGTGCCCCCCCCCCCCCCCCCCGAACCCCCTGAAAAATGTTGTGCCCTCTTCACCTCTTCACTGGTAACAGGAGGTGAGAGGAATAAATTAAGTGATGGATATAACGTCTTGAATTGCATTCCCTCCAAAAAGTTAAAGACCTTTTACACTTATCATTTCAAAATGTATATTCTATACTTAATTGAAATTGCCATGTCTCCGACTTTTTAAACCGTCTTCATTAGCCCACATGGTGAGAAAAGAAGGACGTAAAACTCCATTGATTTCATTTCATTTTCCGACTTTTTAATGCATTATTAAACTAAATTAGTGAATTGACATGAACTTAAGGCACGACTATTTTCAGAAAACAAAAAACGATGAATTAATAGCTAATATAGCAACGTTTTCCCATACTGAAATTAACATGGTATCATAAATTCACACAAAGCATAAGAAAGGCGTTTATAATGTTATTAATATAACCATTATGACTGTAAGATCTGATATCAAATCCTTTCAGTATAACACAAATTCTACAAAATATGATATATGGACAATGCAGTAATAATAAAGGACCGGAAACGTCACCTTGACTCACTCCACCTTTCTATAGGAAAATAAATGACAGATAAAAGAGACTAATGCAAGAGTTTAGTAAATTAATGTAATAAGGATATTTTAAGAATTTTATGTATGTTAATAAATGCTTGATTACAAGATCAATAAATAACCTCATGTTTCACTGCTTATGAGGTGGAAATATAACTTTAGATAAAAACCGGGATTACACGTCTTCATTGCCCCAAGTAGGAGCTTGAGGATGATGGGGGGAAGTGGTTTCATTAAATTGTTCCAGATTCCAAACACCAATAAAGCCACTTCTCCCATTATCCTCAAGCTCCTATGACAACGTAGTGTATATGTGACTTTATGGGAGGGCTCATCCTGCATTGTGACTCACAGAGCAACTGGATTTTCATGGATTGATAATCGGATTTAGTCGACCTGAAATATCACATTTACTAATTTTTCACTCTCTAGCAAAATAGACTTTGGTCATTGCCCTGAACGGTTCAAATCTGCGACTATCCTGTTGATCTTTAGGATTTTAGGACTTGGTTAATTTGTCGGTATGAAGGTTATGGTCAAATGTATTGCAAGGGGTCTAGCGAGTTTTGATTTTGAATTGACAATCGACTTGAAACCTTTGCGATGTAGTAAACATATGATACACTAATCATAGGCTTCCATAACTTCAAGTATTTTGTCAAATTCCATTGATTTGTTCTCACAGTGATGGATCCTATATTTTATATTGCCTCTAATCTTACTATAGTTTTATTGTTTATCAATTCTTACAGTCAACTGGTAGAAAACAGGAATTACTATAATACGGCAATTAAACTATCAAAAACGGTTAATTAATTCACCAAACGTCATAAATGGAGTTTTTAGTGTAAATTGTTTTAAACTGTTGATTTTATGTTGACATCCTGTGAACATTGAAACTGCTGATAATTCCATTAAAAGCTCATACAACACATTTCTTTAGTTAATCTATTTTACAACAAACGCTCATAAAATTTTATCTTAGCTTATCTTAACCTTCTAACTTCTACACCTTGTTAATTATTTTTCAATAATGCCATCAGATTTCTTCATGTACTTTGTGAATTATTTACTGTGCGGTAGGCAAACTCATGTTTACTTCGACCCAGTGCACGTGCTTTTTCTTGTAAGCTGAACCCCTTCTGTGATATACACCTTGTTGTTGGAGTTATCTGTTCTTCCCTACTGTGAGAAGAATCGTTTCATCATAAACGGAACTTGACATGACAAAAACCACCCACGTCTTAATGTTCTCCATGTGTATCTTAACTTCTTTTTTGATGATGAAAAGATGTTGATGACTTACTGCGACTCTCTTGAGTCCTGTTCGTCACATTACAACAAGTGGAGAACATACATTAACTTCATGCACACACGTGCACAACATCTACACAAGTTTTTTGGAAGAACATTTGCAACTTTTTACACGTGTTTTTCTTCTCATTTATCAAAGGAGGAAATTAAAAGGTATCATGTAGGGTTTACCACATTGCTGTGTTCTTGATTTTCCAGATTGTAATTGTTACCCCCGACGGATGTCTAGCTTCAATATCCCTGCTTTTCTCTGGGGAAGTGATATACAAGTGAATTAAGTGGCACGTTTACTACATTAACCTGGGGTAAATGACATGCGCCACGGAAGTTTATACAATGCATGCTGGGATATAAAAACAAATGAAAGTGATGAGAGAAAAACGCAACGCGTGTTCCGCTTTTATATTTTTTTCAAATTCGACAATAAATTAATGTTCTGTGGAAAAATAAGTTTTTAATGACCAATACATCTTCTGAAGAAATAATAGGATGATAAAATGTTTTAAGAAAAAATTTATTTCATGTTATATGAATTTGGAAGATGTATTTTACACTAATTTAAATTCATTATACATAACGCATATTTTACAACATAATATCCTTTCTTTACATTTCTCCTTCACTTTTGATACGCCCACAAGACAATATTTCATCAACATTTTTCATTTTTCAATATGATGGTGTGATATTGTATGTCGATGAGATCTTTGTCTTAGAATTTGAACGATATATTTAGAAATTTGAATGTTTGAGTGCAAAAATTTTCAATCAATTGTAATAAAACTTGGTGTCGTCATTGGAATTGATAAGAATATGTTCGAATTTAATGGTAAGCGTAATGTAAGCAACAGATGTCTATCTACAGTGACTTGAACGTTAAGATTGGGATTCAAGTTGATTACTTTTGCAATGAACTGGACATATTTTGCATTATGATTTATGTCTATCTATGTACCTTAAAATTTAACAAAGCTGTTGTATTTGCGTATGTTATCTTGCTTGGCAAGCTATTTTGCCATGCTTACTCTTTTCAAAACATCTGATGGAAATTCTCTTTGGAGAATACTACTTTTCGTTTTTGCCATTCTTAGGATGAAATTTTGATTGACGGAATTGTCCTGCTGGTACGTATTTATACACAGACATGCTGGTCCATCGTAACTTCTCAGAGATGACACCAAAGTCATATCAAAGTTACGCTGTATCCGTATATCCGTCGTTGTATTGGTGACCAATGTTAAGATTCCATTTGTGTTTTTCGCCGATGAGAAGATTTTCTTGATGTTAGTTAAAGGTGCAGGTCTATCTTTAGGTTTTAAAACCACCCGGTGAAGTCATCAGAATCAAGTGAATTAAAATTGTCGTGAAAATGATGAAAGGTTGTAAAAGTGATGCCAAGAATTCATGTAAACAAGCTGTACTTCTATCATTCATTTCGAGTCTTTTTCTTGCTGACAGCCGTCATGAGAATCAAGAGGGAAGAATACACTTGTAACTACAGACTATGATAGTAATTTTGTTTATTTTACAACATTTCAACTGTTGATTACCTGTAGAAATAATCAGTTGAATGACTAATTACCACAGATAAACATTCTTCTACTATTTCTACTCGAGTAACATCGTGTGAAAGATAGATCCACCGTCTGGTAAACATATTGCTACTCTCTAAGTAGGTCTTCCTACTGTTTATTTGAATAACAAAAGGTCGAATGGTTAAAAAGTGGGGATATTTTATTATGGTTAACTAGTCTTGTTTCATTTCATTCTGACAATTTTGTAAACAACTGAAGCATACCTCTTAGAATCATCTTCATTAATGTTAAATAGATGTATATGATAGAATTTCGTAAGAAATATCCTGCGTAATGCCTCAAACCTTAATGAGCAGTTTCAAATCCATTTAATGCCATTGTAGAGTCATTGTTTGTCTATTCAAAACGACACATTCCGTTTCTAGTGTCAACTTGAAATGAATGATGAAATGTATATTTTTTGTAAAAGGAATTTTAAAATGAAATTGAAACTGATTTAATTTGTCTGCGATACGTAATAAATATTTATTACCTGTTCAATTATAATCATCAATATTACATACATTTTTTTTCATTGGGTTAATGAGTGTCAAATCTTACATAATCAGATCTTTACTTGTATATATATATATTAGTGTTACATATGCCCTCCATAATTCACCACAAAAATGAAAGTTCCCTTTACAACGATAGTCGCTTTATCAGCAGTATGGTGCTTGTACGCATCTGCTCAAGTATTTCGTCCTCGTAGATTATCCAATCCAGGATTGAGGTCTCAACAACAGCCAGAATACAGAACGTGCATCGGACAAACAGCTGCTGGGGATGAAATGAGAGTTACATTTTATTCGCGCAGATCAACATCGTCAAACTGGTGGCAATCCGGTAGAATAACCAATGATATTCAAGTTAAAGCAACTATTAATTCCAGATCTCTGACGAACAAATTTAGACTGGTAACAACACAATATGGAAGAATTGACGGAATGTGTGAAAGTGAAAGTTTAGGAAACATTATTGACGAAAATGCGTTCACACGAGTAGCCAATGTTCGAATTGGAGGACAAAAGAGTAGAAACATTGGTTTTATTGGAACAGACTTTTCCCTTTCTCCAGGAAAATCAGTACGAATCACCGATCATATACAGTCTATGTTAAACTTAGATATTATAGCTGGAGGTGGCATGGCGTTATGCCCAGTACAACAAATAGTTGGTGTCAGATGTATTGATCTCATTTCTTTGTGCTGTTCGATTTCAAAAGACACTAAACCTGCTGATATTATCGAAGAGCCTGGTTTTTCGGGAGATATTTCTGGAAATCAGTTTTCAAATGTCCAGAGTGAGGTTGGAAATAGTATAGTATTATCCAATGGAGTTAGTAGCAATGCACAAATATCTAATGGGGTAATAGTAAACCCAGCTTTTAATGGAGGCCAAAATCGAATTACAAACCGCAATACTGACGGTCGTCTGGTTGGTAACGGTCCAATATTAAATGGTGGAAACATTGATGCTGCTAAAGATGTACAAAATGCACCAATGCAAAATACTAACAGTATGCAAATGGGTCCAGTACAAGGTTAAGTTACGACAACCTTATAGAGAAAGATTTCTTTTTTAATTGGTGGTGAAGTGTTGTACGAGTATATCTATGGAGTGGATATTAAACCTGTTATGATTAAAATTGTGTTAAAAAATCTTATTGCAAACAAAAGGGAGGGGAAAATTGATCTCAAACGAATACTTTCAGATCGCAACGAGCCAAAATAGTATTTTATTATGCCCCTTATAACTACAAGATATAAGTTTTTTCTTACCACAGTCCTCCATATGGGACCGAAATCGACATTTCATCCAATTTTAGTTTTTGGGCCTCGGCGAATCTGTCGATGAGTAGGAACAATGTCGTCGAAATATTCGGGAATATTTTTATCAAATAATCGGGGAAACTCTCCCGGGACTGAATGTCCTCGGGACTAAATCTTTACCGACATTGTGGCAAGGGTTCACGCATCCCTAATGCTTGCTCAAATATAATATATTCAGTTAGAATTGGATATAGCAACTGTTGATTTTGCAGTGTGAATCGTCGCGTGATTGTCGCATTGAAGCTCGAGCGTTGAACAAAAAAATTTTTTACAGTTTGAATTTGCGATCAGTTAAGTAAACACAAAACGTTTTATAACGTTTTGAAAATGTCTTCAAACCATTAGTGGCGTTTTAGAAAGGTTTTCAAAACAATTTATCTTTGCTGTAGGAATAGCCAGCAAGCAAGTATGCCATCACACCAAAGAATGACCTCTTTGGGTTTCAAGGCTTGACCAAATCACTTCTCCTGGCTATTCCCTTCTTCTGGGCACCAATCACAGGAATAGTTTCTAACTATTGTTGTCGATGTGTTTTCTATACAAAGCCAGTTCGTGTTCTTCCATTTTGAGGATGGATAGAGAAAATGGGCACAATACATTTAAAAAATTTTCCACATTTCCCCATCGCAGACCATTAAGATTCCTTAATTCGTAGTAGGGTTGAAGATGTATTTTTAGATCGGCCCGATTTTCGTGTTGAATCGCCCCGTTTTTGAACCACTGGATTATTGCGGAGGAACGAATCACGGACGTTCATCGATTTTGCGTAGGTACACGGCAAAGGCCTAATGGAGGCCCGCTTCTCACCGCAAGTGAGCTATGATCCTACGTTTTTCGGCCGAGAGTGGACAAATGTAGGAGTATGTTGACGATGGGAGCCACAGAAAACCGAAAGTTAAAGATCTTCGGACGTTCGGTCTTCGGTCGTCCAAATCTGGGACAATCTGGTCCTGATCGAGCCGATCACTTGTCTGTACCTTTCCCTTGGAGGACTTAGTTCATCGCTCCAGTCACGCGAATTGTTCGTGACCAAATTCGAACGCATCGTACTCTCAATATGCAGTGCCTTCAGCATTAGCTCAATCAGGTGCAGAAAATTAGGAGGTAAAACTCCACTTAATTCATTCCAATTTTTATGACGTCCTTGTGTTTTAACTTCGGCCTTTGATTGGCTACTGTCCTGGTTCGGGGCTATCTTCGGCCCAAATTCATCTTCCCTTTTTCGTATTGCCACCTGGTATCAATAACGGGATAGTGTCACCAGAATGAAAATCTGAGGCCAAGTTTCGAAGCCAGTATTATCATTCACTTAAAATGGATAATAGTGTAGTTAAAAAGCGGCACTAAAACAGAAATTGGGCCATAACCATGATAAATAAGCTTCAGCAACAATCGTTTTTTTTTTGGATTAAACAGATCAAGAGAAATGTAGATTGCTATAAATGGAAATTCAGTCATTTCATCTGAAAACATCTGACTAACAAGAACAGGTGAATAACAGAAACTTCTAACTAGAAGTATATAGCCAAAGGCGACAAGTTAATTTTAATGATGATATTAACTTAGCTTGCTATCCTTTTCTGGAACTATGAATAAGCGTTCGAATGTAACTGGAATTCGGGATCTTCAATCCGGCGTTACAGATGTTAACCGATAAAAAAGATCTAATACATCATTCAATTTTTTAATTCAAAATTACCATCACAAAAATACATTTAATACATTACACAATCATAGAGATTAATCTTTCAGCTTATTTTCGTCCAGTAAAGGCTCCAGTGTTGGGCCCTCCAATTTGACCGGGCATCTGTCCCATTTGACCAGCCATACCATTCATTTGTCCAGACATACCGTTCATTCCTGACATGCTGTTCATTCCTGGCATACCGTTCATTCCTGGCATACCGGTCATTCCTGACATACCGTTCATTCCTCTCATCCCAGCGCCCATTGGGATATTAGTTGCTGATTGTCTGTCCTTTGCTATTGCGCAACAAAGAGAGATCATATCCAGACATTTGTTGTTCAGAATTTGTGAAACAGGACATAAGGCCATGCCTCCACCGGAAATCATATCGAAATTAAGCTCCGAGTTGATGTTGTCTTGGATCTTGACAGATTGTCCTGGAGTCAAATCAAAAGCTGTTCCAACTTCGCCAATATTGCTGGTCATTGGGGCTTGGTTGTACCATCCGAAATTGAAAGCACTGAAAGGTTGTCTTTGTTGTTGACCTCGGATGATGGTACCTAAATTTTCGCTTTCACACATACCATCAATTCGACCAAATTGTGTTGTTACCAATCTGAATCGTCCAGAGATTGAAGCAGACTTCACGGTAGCATCTATTTCCAAATCATTGGTATCCCACCAGTTACTACTACGACCCTGAGATTGAGTAAAGGTAACTCTCATTTCATCACCTGCTGCTGTCTGACCAATACAAGTTCTATAACCTTTTCGTTGTTGTTGACCCATCATGTTGTTACCACCCATCATGTTGTTACCACTTATCATGTTGTTACCGCCGAACAATCCTCCTAAACCATTTGGTATTTGAGCAGAGCATTGTTGATAGAAGACGGCAAAGATGGCGACGAATATTGAGAGAAGAGCTGCCATGTTGATGCTGTTGTAGTGTTGACTTGTGAATGATTTGAGAGCGGTTCATCTTCGTATTTATATGATACTGTATAGGAAGTTGAGTAAGATTAAGCATAATATTTCATCACTGATCGATAAGGAAGGGTTAGGTAACTATGATGTAATCGCGGTTTATTTCTATAATTATTATAATTACTACCAAAGGTGTGAAATTGATTTAAATCATTTCAATTAACTGTAATATTACATAAGGAATTTGCTCAGAATTTAATATTCTTTGATGACTTTAATTGACGGGACTGTTCATCATCTGCACTACTTGCACATTGTTTGAAGAAAAAATTCGTTTGATGAAGGACTATAATTTGATTATTTCGGTTTTTAATCAAAGCGTATCTAAAAAATGAAATATATTTATATGGGGTTTGCATTGTTTAAAAACATGGTAAGGTATTTACAATTTGTTTTAGGTACAATGTTGGTAGAACAGCCGATATCAAGAAGCAAAACTGCATGCACTGTACATGTTGAAACATGTCCACGCTACCAATTAAACAAGATATAATGTTCACGCTACAAATTAACCAAGATATAATGTTCACGCTACAAATTAACTTAGATATCATAACATGAGAGATTTGACTTCTCTATGAAATTTTTATATAAATTTAAATAGATCCTAAACAACGACTCAGATCTTTAATTGATTGTAACATCACAAAATGTATTTCAAATTAGTCACGTGGATTATAGGGCATTGTGTCCTAAGAATGCATGGTAACACAATTTCGTTTGAGCTTAAAGATCACTTACCCGAAAGCACCTATGGCCACATACAATGATTTTGTCAGGGAGGTGTATTATTATCTTTTTTCTTTAGTTGATACAATAATTAAAATCATTGATGTCGAACCGTGAGTAACAAAATACCATATGTTACAGGAGTTATTGCCCCTTTCCACAGTTGCAAGATAACCGCCTTTTGTTGGCTTTTAACGATTTAGTCATAAAACTGAGAACACAATTTATCCATCATAATAAAGAAGCAGGTCCCATACTGGAATTACTTCAATTTACAAAAATTATATTTTGATGGAAAATTGATGACAACAGTTTCCACATCGAATAAAAATAAAGAATCAGAAAATTGGTAAAGAATCGGTTTCACATTACATTTAAATTTCTACACAAACGATTGAATGTCATTATACTTTAATTAAATACAGTTATTTAAATGTTTCTATTCCGCTCTTACAATATCTTTTCAAATGTTTCAGGCATTAAAATAAGAATAGAATCAATGTGTTCGACACTGTTCGACATTAGTCAGGATTAATTTGAATGGTGTTTTGGGGTTTTTGTTTTTGTATAAATTATTTAGACAACAGCTGGTAAAGGTAACATGTTGAGGCCTTGAGAAGCGGGTACCTGTCAAAATACAAACAATCCTTTTATTTATTTCATTTCATCAAGGTAAACCATTCGATTTATTTTTAGCCATTGATTTAATTTGCATTTATACATAAAAAACATTAGATACACCTCTTCGTGTTGCAGTTAATCGTAAATGCAATCAGCATATTGTTTGAGATTAAATACTGCTTTTTTTTTTAAAATAATGTCTCCTATTTCAACAGTTTGGTGAGAAATATAATGACAAATCAGTGCATGTATCTTATTTCTTCAGGACGATCTGTTACCTTGATTGATACTTTTGTAACAATTTATAATTAAAGGCATTGGAAAGTCGAATCCGTATTTTTTATTTCAACTTTAAACTCGAAGCAGATTTTCGAAAGAATATTTCATAACAGTGCCAAAATGATAATAAAAGTTTAGCATGTGTTCATTTATTTACATTTTGTGACGTCAGACGTCTCTTAGGGATATCAGGATAGATCAATACCATTTGGTCATTCTTTGAACTCGGCCAACACTCTTTAAACAATTACAAAATCATGCAAACTTTCTTACGGATTTATTTCTAACTATTAACCTAAGTCTTAAAACAGAATTAGAATGTTTTTCGATGCTGTCTTCTGTTGTTTATATTTTTAATATGATTAAAATCTAATGTATATAATTGGAATCTTGTTCCCTGAAATTTTATTTTTTCTCGTTTTTGAAATGTGGTCTATTCATTATTCTAGTAACAAGTAACATTGTTGTCTAACTGGTATATGTTGGTATCTCTGTCTCCTCTCACTAGATTAACTTCAACAAACGTTTCGTTACTGGCAACATTGAAATAATTAAACATTTCAAGATTTACCAATAAATGTTATAGACTGAAACTTACTTTTTCGGATTTTACAACAATGAATTATTGTGCTCTAGGAAAATACAGCAGAAATTTCCACATTCATTTTACACGATGCTCTGTTCAGTGACCAAATTGTTACTGTAACTGGGATAAGGCGGCGCTAGGTGTACGAAGAACCATTATTATAGAGCAGATATCCACACAAAGCAAAGGTGTGTGAACCAATACATTCTGCACCAATATTAAATCAACACTAATGATGAAATGATAACGTTTTTCAGTTTGCAATGTAAGAATGACGTCTTAACGTCCGATTAGTCGTTAGTTCTGCCGATGTTTTACTTTTTCCAGGCGCCGAAATTCAATGTGAAAAGTTCGTATCATCTGAGTAAGCATTCATATAAATATACCTCTAAAGGACCCAGATGCCTATTTTGAAAACTAGTAACCTATATTTCAACTCCGCCAAAGTTTTGAACAGCGGGTCAGTTAACATATATCAAATTGTGTTGATGCTGAAATATCCATTTCCAGTCTCTTTAAAACACCATTTAATATTCCTTAATCTATTTAAATCGCAATGTTTAATATTTCAACTCACGTAATTAGAACAATAAAAAAGATCAAAGTAGTAAGTGTTAGGTTTCCAAAACAATTGTTTAAAATAGGAAGTCAGGGCGAATCCATTATTAATATTTCTTTACCCCAAGGCTAATTGTTTCAAACACCCAAATAATGTTGATCATTTCAACACGCATTTTAGCAACTTAAACAGCTTTCTGATAGACAACTCTTTCACTGTATGTTAATTAAATTATTCAAACACATATATATTTTAAGCTATACTCATCTATATTTCATTCATATGACCTTCTACGATGAATAGTCATATATATTTCAAACAATTGCATTTATCACCGAAATTATTTATCGTTATATTAAAACCAAGTATCTCAATAGAAAATATGTATCCCATAAACTTTTTATCGTAAGTTATCTTTGTTTTAGCACCATGAAGACGTTTTTTCTTTCTTTTTTTTTTACGCAATGACAATTTTTTCGGCGGGCAATCTTGTCAAATTGTCAATCTCATACTTGTACTCGAGAAAACACTATTTATAAGAACTACTTTAATTTTCTTCATACATTATTGGACACTAGTTTTCTATAATTTAGAAAAAAAATCATATGATCGTTGTAGAAAATTAGCATAGTTGGCCTATATTAGAAAATGAAAACATGCGAGGAGTACTTCGCAATCGAATTTTACAAACATGGTTCTTTTGTAACTTGTCTTAATTGAGATAGGACGATGTCATACTGGGATGAATGAAAGAGTTGAAATATTTAAATTGTTTTAGATACAATCGACTTTGAAAAACAATTTAATTGTTTATTCCGCACGTGGCTTTAAGTATAAATAATCCTTACTCTAAGCCTTTTTCTACACTCAGTTTAAATATTTACATTTCAAATGAATTTAAGACAACTATTTTCACAATTACTGGTCGACAACTAGAAAGAAAACATCCAGTCTCTGGCGTTTTACATTAATATGTATCAAAAACTTTCTAATTAATGTATTTTCTTATCATCTCTGTAATTATCATGTCTAATTCGAATACATATCAATTTAATACTTTTATTTTTCAAACATAAACATTGCCAATGTTATCAAAAATTTTGACAAAAGGGCGATAACCTGATAGCACAAATTGTAACTTGTTAATTGATATATTCACCAAACAAAAGCTGTCTTTATTTTCAATGCGTGTATAATTTGATCATGTGCTTTAAGAATTAAATTATTAATGGTCTCCAATGTTTTTGTCTTCTATGTACATAATCTAAATTGCCATACAGTTTCTTTTTTTTGAGAGTTTTTCCAAAGAAGAGAAGTAGTCGATTGCCGCTTTGAATAAAGATATACGGCACCACGTTATGGTTTAACTAGTGTTTCACATAATACAATAAAATAGCCTTTAAACCGATATTATCAAACTGTAATATTCCCCTCACACCGTTCATCAATTACATTTAAATGGCACAAACGATTTCTAAAAACTGTCAAAAAATGAGATATTCAATTTGAAACGTTACAAGTATTTATTGAATTAAAACAAGAGCACAAGAAATAAGAACATTGAAATTCCATCTCGATTGATAACTATTACAGAATTGGCTTTTTTCGATGAAAATCAATTCTCTAGACGAGAAAATGACGTTGTGAACTGTCAGAATTCTGTGATGAAAAAGAAAGTTTAGAATAATAGTTTTTGTAGTATAACCTATACAGTATTAAATAACGGTAATATTCTCCGCCATGTTTTCCCAGGGGGCGCTGCATGATAGTCTCGATGACATTCTCACAGATTATTCCTCCATTTATCTGATTGCTTTATTTTCAAACTTGCTCAGGAAATACACAAGCATGAAATGACTCATTTCTGATTCGTTTTCTAACTTGTCTTTTTTCAAGTTACCATGGCCTCAATTGACAAGTGAATAGTTTGACGGTTCTGTAATGACCAATATTGCTTATGAACCATTTGATTAAGAAGCTAATGCTAAATTAAGTCAAGCAGTTAATGTGTTTCGTTTCAAGCCTGGTTTCCTAGTTGTCTTTTTAACCGTCAACCGACACAGTGCTGACATGAACTGTAAATGGAATATTGAATTGCTTGAAAACAAATCTCATCAGCCACATAAAATGGCAAATTCTAGTCAGGTCGTTAATATGTTTCGTTTTCCGTTTCATTGGTTCCTGTTATAATGA